CCTGGCTTGTACTGCAAGCTCCTTTACACACGGAGCCATCTTGTGAGCCCTCCAAAAACAGTTCTGGCTATAACCCATGTCAGTTTGTTTTGGCTCTGTTATCTGTCTAGGTCCGACTGTTCAGATGGATATGAAACCTTCTAAATTTCTCTCTGGAGTACAAGGTGGCCACCTCCTTTATACCTTATAGAGTAATTATTTCCTATTACTGTTGGCGAAATGAGCCATTTGTGCTACCCCAGAGAAAGAGGCAGGGAAAATTCCCTCCAGTGTGCAAATGGCAATATTTTATTTTCATAAATCAGGACTGACCTTTATAGACAACTAGGCTTGCTACCTAATTATTGCCAGAGTGAAAGAATGCTGGAGAGCCATAATTTGTAGAGAGTTCATTAACATTTAACCAGCTTATAGTTTTCAGCCACAATAAAAAGGGAAGAGACAGAGCCACACAATCAAGTTTGCAGCTGTGTCTTCTTGAGATCTACCTGAATCAGGCTCAGTGGTGTTAGGGGTTGGATTAAGATAGTCCTCCTTGTTTGAGGGGATATTCGTTCATACTTATTTTTTTTTTTAATTTTCTGGTAACATTATTGTAGGCCAATTCTGCATTGAATTTAAGGGAATGCATTGCCCATTCCCACCCTCTTTGTGTTTTTTGAGACGGGGTTTCTCTGTGTAGCCCTGGCTGTCCTGGAATTCACTCTGTATAGACTTGGCTGTCCTCAAACTCAGAGATCCTCCTGGGTGCTGGGATTAAAGGCATGTGATACTCTACCCAGCTAAAAATTATTTTTTTGTAGTGTTCTATGTGTATGAGTGTTTTGCCTACATGGATCTTTGTGCACCACATGGGTGCAGTGCCTGCAGAAACCAGAAGAGGGTGTCAGATCCCCTGGAACTGGAGTTACAGAACAGTTCAAAGGAGCCATGTGGGTGTTGGGAAAGAAACTCAGGTCCTCTGCATGAGCTACAAATTTTTTTTTAACCTCTGTGCCAACTCTCCAGCCCTTTATTTCCCATTCTTATTTAAAAAGAAAAAAAATTAGATACTTGTCACACGCTCATTGCAGTTGAATGCTATGTTGACTACAGTGCAGATAGAATATTGCTCTTGAGTGATTTCCTCTTTTCTATGGGCTTTCAGACACCAGTTTTTATTTTTAAAGTGTACGTCTGTGTGTGTGTAGGGGTGTGTGTGTGTGTGTGTGTGTGTGTGTGTGTGTGTGTGTGTGTGTACATACGTACACGAGTGCAGGTGCCCACAGAAGCCAGAAGAAGGCATTGGATCTCTTGGACCTGGAGTTATGGTTGGCTGTGAGCTGTCCATTGTGGGTGCTGAAATCAGAATGCAGGTTTCCTGGAAGAGAGGTGCAGGATCTTAAATGCCATGCCATCCCTCCAGACCTAAGATACCTGTTCTTTCACTCTGCTGATTTCATTAAAAACAAACAAATGAAAATACTGAGGGCTTGACTCTGGGAATTTTCTTTTGTTTCAGTGAAAAACTGAATTAAGACCAAAAATTTAATTGTTCTCTCTTTATTTGGTTGTCTCTCCTCTCTCTTCTCCTCCCCTCCCCTCCTTCTATCCTCCCTTTTATCATTTTTTGTTATTTTTTTGAGGGAGGGTCTTGCTGTGTATCCAAGGCTGGTCTCAAATTTGCCAAGCACACAAGCTGACCTCTCCCTTCCAGCCCTCTGGTCTCAGCCTAATGAGAACCAGGGTTTGTTTATTTCAATGCTGACGTCATTTCCTTTTACCTTTTCCTATTTTATGTCAATAAATCATCGTTACTATCATAAGGTCTCACTGATAAAGAGTGGCATGCGAGGTCACATATCTTCAGGCAATCGGAAGTGCACAGACGATCCCGTCCTCAGGGGGTTTGATGGTCACGCACCATCTTGGAAAGAGATTTGTTTTCCCTTTATGCGTCCTTTCAAGGGACCGGGCAACACTGTGATGTGATGGGTAACTCAGTCCTCACCCTGGTATGGCATGCTCTTTCTGCTTTCCCTTGACTGTATCCGTCCGCCTCAGCAGCAGGTTACACCGTCAGTGCAACAGCCATTTGGAAGACCAGATCCTTAGCCAGCCTCATGTTGTGTTGTGAACACTTCTATTGTTCCTGCCATTTGAGACTGTGATAAATGGAGTTACTCAGCATAGTATCTGGGTTTTCTCCAGGGGCCCCTTTGCATCAACATGAATGATGGTTTCTTCCTTTCTTTTTTTAAACAGGGTTTCTCTGTGTGATTTTGGTGCCTATCCTCAATCTCACTCTGTAGACCAGGCTGGCCTCGAACTCACACAGATCTGCCTGGCTCTGCCTCCCAAGTGCTGGGATTAAAGGCGTGCACCACTGCCCCCCAGCGGTTTCCTTTCTTTTACTGTTATTTGTGCCACTGCTGTTTGGCTTCCTTCATGTCACAACTACAACTTGCAACAAAGGAACACTTTTTTTTTTTCTCTCACAAATGATTACATAGCCTTTGAACATCTCACCCATATTGGAATGTCATTAGTATTGGGTGCTGGACAGATCACTTTTCTTCAGAGCTTGTTAATACTCAGAGAGGGGGACACGTGAATGATCATTTGTTGTCGGATTAAACTTTGAGTTTAATTCTGTACCTTTGATAATGAGCTTTGTGTTCCCAGGGGAAGGGTTAGTTGAGACTATAAGTACTGAAAGCATTCTAGAAGACAGCGCACTGATTTCACCCTTGTGCCTAGAGCTGCCGACTGAGACATGCTAAAAAGCCTAGAGAGGCTGTCTGGGACAACCTGGGGTTTCCTGACTACTGTCTGACATCTTCCAGGACATGCAGGCAGATTTGGAAAGAGTACACATTGTATCTGCTGATGTAGGTGGAGTAGTCCTTTTCCAAAATGCTAGGGACCAGACATGTTTTCGTTTGGGTGTGTGTTTTGAAATCCTTGAGTATATAATAAGATTAGCTATCTGGAGGCTATGACTGAGCTCTAAACACAGAATTCATTTGTTTCTTAGAGGCCTGCACACATAGCATGACGATGGTTTTTGCTTTATTTTTTTAAATCTTATTTTATTTTATTTTTTGTGCACTGGCACATTGATCTTAACCCATCACCTCCAACTAGGTGTGGAAGTATCTGAGCTTGTTGGACACTGTCAGTGAGCAAAAAAGTTTCAAGTTCAAGAGCATTTTGAATTTTGTGAGTAATTGTGATTATTCTGCAATGTAAATTTAGGTAGGATAACTAATTCCCAAGTGATGGGGTCAGGACTGGCAAAGCTGTCCATAGGCTGGAGTGATGCCCTAAACATGAGATGGATTTAGTAAAGCTAAGTGGGCAGTCTCGTGTGAATTGAGAGGGGACACACACACACACACACACACACACACACACACACGTAGAAACAGCTTGATGGTAGGTGTGGAAAGACACGGGCTTTCAGCTCAGGATGGACCAGTGCCCTTGCCCAAGCTGTTGTCAGGGTGAGAGGTCAAGGGCAGGAGTCACATGGGTTCTTGCTCCAGCACAGGGTGCCATTCCTCGGGACAAGTGTTCAGAGAGCACTTGCCATGGAGCTGACAGGTCTGGAAACCTCACAGGAGGAATTGGGGAGAGCAGAGCATGTACTGCCTGGGGACGCTAAGACGCAGAACACGACAGCTTCTTTCAAATTGTCAGGTTTCCTGTGCAGGAGCTGCACATTTAACTGTTGCCTTTCGGGGTGGAGGGAAGATATATGGGCGCACATTTCAAGAGGCAGAGTGGAGATCAGAACATCTAGGAATGTTCTGGGAGTTTTCTACATACAAAATGTGCAGTTTCTCCTGTCTTCAGAGGATGCCTGGTTGTTGTGGAAGGCATAGGACTGGCCTAGGGTGGGGGTGAAAGTTAGGTCAGGTGACCTCCACATTCCGTTTCCTCTCTGGTTTATAATTGCTGTTTTCCTTGCCTCCTTCCTCTAGGGTGTATGTGGCAGGCATAGTACAATAATAGTCCTAAAATTGAATCTCCTTGTCATGAATCCCCACTTCTTACCAACTGCTAGCAATTATCATTAATATTTTGAATTAATAAGATCCATTTATTATGCAACTGATTATGTAATACCTACTATTCATTATATAATGGGTATCAGGTTTTTCATGATCTGAGATCAGTCTCATCATTCACTGTCCCCTATGAATCATTTGGACAAAGATCTGCCACTATACGTATTTCAACATAACAGGCATCTAATAGGCTGTAGAGTGGCATGCAAAACCATCACTGTGCTGAATTACATTGGTACTGAAGCAAGTGAGTTGCTGACCATGTGTGTTCCATGTTTTCTATTTGTTTTATTTAGATAGCTTCATCCATTGTACCAAAACTAAGCAGATGTTTTCCACATGGTTAGCCTTGAAATTTCTGCCATTTAGACTTGTGTGGACTATAAAGTGATGTCCTAATCCACACTGATTATGAGACCTCAAATTTCTTAAACCATAAACTGAAACTTGCTTCTGTGTAAGATAGAGAAGGATAATTTGAAAAATATTTTGCAGGCCATGCCCATCATGTGCGGTATGCCTTATCCTCTACAGTGACACCAGTGTTTTAGTGAAAACATTTCTCTTTAATATTTTTGAACAATTTACAATTCTGTATTGAAAACATTGAATACTTGAGGGAATTCTTTTGAAGTTTTGAATGCAAGGTGAATTTTCGAAGTTCAGTGTTCATCTGGACAATGAAAATTTTAGGTTTGCTTATTTCAGTTGTCTTCCACCAACATTAGGCTCCTTTTAGAGAGCAACGTAATGTGTATGTATTGCTAAGGCATGGTTAATACTCAGCAACATTTGACAAGGTTGGGGAAGGGGTCAGATCCACAGTTCCCAAGTAAAAGGGTCAAATTAGATTCAGTTTGATGTCAAGTAGATGGCTGTCTTCCTGATGCATCTCAGAGCAGCTCAGACTAGGGGTGACTCACCTTGCCTCTCTTTCTTCCATTGTAGGTGGCTGCCTCTTTGATGAGCCATACAGCACATGTGGATATAGTCAAGCTGACGATGATGACTTCAATTGGGAGCAGGTGAACACCTTGACCAAACCAACATCTGATCCATGGATGCCATCAGGTCTGCTCTTACTGCTCAGTGTTCTTTCTGAAATAGGGGCATCTGGAGAGTCTTGGTCATAGAACACTGTCTACTGGATATTGGTTGAGTGTAAGAGCATGTTGTTATGTGAGTGCTGTGCTCCATGGCTGTGTAGCTGGAGTGGATGGTGTAATTAGGAGGACTGATTGCAGGAGTTTAGCCTTGCGTCTCTCCCTGTAAAGATGAGTTATGGTTTGCTCTCTGTATCTTTGGGCATACCTTAGCTGGATTAGTGGACATTGCCAAGGTGATCCTTTCTTAAGCAACAGATATGGGGAATAGTCGGATGTCTGTTCTGGCAAACATGTGTGTCAAGGATGGGACTCTAGTTGTAGAATACAAATAGCATGGTTTCCAACTACCACACACAGCAGACCTTGAAGACTCTTCTCTCAAGCCTCAGAGCCTTAGAGGCTTTCTTGTAACTGGGAAATCATGTTCTTGAAAGCATTCAGAGGATTCATGGATATGTGTTCTTTTTTTCTCCCCCACCCCCAGAGGAATGCTTACTTAATTTCACACTAAGTAGAAACTACTTACCTTACTGAGCATCAGTGAGAATTCAGATTTTTGAAGGAAGAGTAGAAAGACAATGATTGATCTAATCACAGCAGAGCCTGACAATTTTGTAGAGACCCTCTTTCCAGGCTGTGACCTTGGCAGTCCTTTTAAAGTCTTAGATTTGCAGATTCATAATTGAAATGGGCTGATGAATGTACCACTTAGTATTCAAACTGCTAAAAACATATTAGTGAGATTTGGGTTTCAGATAAAACACGTTTTTGTACTTTTTCATGAATATAAAGCTTTTCATTAATGTGCCTACATGCAGCAGTAATTAGATTTTGTAGGTAATCTTATAAAGGCAGCTTCAAAGCATGAGGTAGAATCTAATGTTGTTCTTAATAAGCTTTAACAATTATGATGCCCACCATGGGCTTTCCTCTCCTTCCCACATTTAATTCCTTATAATTTTCAAGTCAAGAACTCCAGTCTCTTTAACACTGTGACTTTGCCAGGCTTCCAAGTTTTCACAAGTCTTGTTTGGTTCCCCAGATCACTTTCTCCTTTGCTGTTTTTCCCTCTTCCTCAAGTGTATGTACCTTTCAATGCTGCTTCTGGAGCTAGTGGGCCACACTTAGTTAGCTGGCCACCCTCTAGCTTCCGTGTTCCTTTTTAACTATGATTGACAGTTAGGAACATGGCTTTGTCCTTGCTGCATTGTCCCTCCCCAGGCAGAGTTCTTGCCCTGAAATCCTTTGAGTCTTTCCCTGACATCTCCCTAGGTGTCCACTGGTCTCGAGAGAAGTTGAGGTGGGGGAGAGTTAGACCTGGTAGATCTGTTTATGCAAGCACAGATGTGGCTGCTGTCATGTCTATCTTTTCATTGGATGAAGTCTGTGGCTATCTGTAGCTTTATATTTTACTAAGGATGGAAATCAGGGTCGCTCGCATGTTAGGGAAGTGTTCCATCCACCGCTGAGCTATACCACACGCCCCCAATTTGTAATTTTTTGAATTCGGTATCTGTTTTCATTACTACGACCATTTGCATTGAAATTTTTTTCCAATTTGGAAAAAAAAATTTACTTTTGAAAAGAAGCCTAAATATTGTAGAATCTTCTTCAGCCTGTGCTGATTCTATCTGAGTCATAACATAAGCAACCCACTTAATGAAAAGAGGCTTGCTACCAAGTCTGTTGACCTGAGTTCAATACCAGGTCCACAGGATAGAAGGAGAGAACCAACATTGTCTTCTTATCTCTCATTGAAGGAAACAAACTCAAGCCTACAAGTTTGTGTGCTTGCTCATACACACACACACATAATAAATATGTAAATATAAAAACAACTGTTAAAATTTCTTATGGTAAAAGGATGGCAGAGAGAACCATATGGCTTTTGTGGGTTGCGTTTAAGCCTTTATTTAACAATAGTATTGGATGTGTTCTTGCATGTGCGTTACTTGGTCTGCTGCTACATGTAGGTCGGTGCTGAATCGACTCACATAAATAGTCGCCCTATTGGCCAAATCCAGCCCACTGCCTGCTTTGATATGCCTTGTAAGCCAGGAGTGGTGTCTCCATTTTTAAGTGATTGGCAACTTTTTTTAAAAAAAAGATAATAGTATTTTGTGAGATGAGAATGTTAAATTTCATTGCCCATGGAATTTTCTTGACACACACCTATGGCCCTGCAGATGGACAGTGTGCCACAGTGTGAGCTGTGCGGTCTCGGCTGTTGTTGGGACAGAGACTTGGTGGCACGCAGAGCTACACCCTTCGCTCTGTTACTGGGGAAGCTTGCACCCCTGTGAGAGGCCCTTTGGGAATCAGCCCTTAACTGAGTGTTGTTTTAGATCTTGGCTTATATTTCTTTCTTTCTTTCTGTGCTCACATCCTGATTATTACCCAGAAGTACCGAGTTCACCTTTCCTTTCACTTCCTGTTTCTGTGGTTTCCAGTCATCAGCTTGTCTCTCTCCTTTGTCCAGTGCCACGGTCTGGGTTGCAGACTGGGATTCTTGTTGGCAAACAACCCATCAAAATGAATTTCAAAATGGTTAAAGCCTAAAATGTTGGCTAATTTTTAGCCGTTTATTTTACTCTCTCCTTTTCTGAAGTCAAAGGAAGAATTTGTTCCTCAGTATCTCCCATGTTCGAGGCTATTCATAACCACATTAAAAAAAAACTAAGCACAGTATAAAGCTTGTCCCAGCTTCCTTGAGCTCTCCTCTGAGCTGGTTGTGCAGCTCTGGAACCACATGGCTAAGAGAGATGAACGCCAAGCGTCATGACCCTCTGTGTATTGAAACGCTACGCTTTTGTAGTAGGCGCTGCACCATAACGCTTTTCTTAAGGGTGAAATGACAATAAACGGAGTTTCTTTTATTGGTCACTCACTGTGCAGCTTGTTTCGTGTGACTTGGTTGTCTTCGTTAGCACCTTGGGGACTTTTAAGTTTTACCACAAGGATTGCTCGTTGTGCGCATGGGAGCTTAGATTCAAACCAAAATAAGAGTCTGGTGGAATCTGTTAGCCCCTGACAGACCACATCACATCCTGTGAGTATCACACAGGCATTTGTTCTAAGAAGTGTTTTATGACCACGGAACAGGTACCTGGGGCAGGACAATGGTCCGTGTCTCTCCTGTATGATATTTGTAACTTACTGCTCTCGTTCTCAACAGTGGATACTTATTTATTTAATTTAAATACTTTTTTTCAGTACTGGGGAGTGAATTCAGGGCTTTATCCATGCTAGGCAAATGTTCTACCCCTGAGCTATATGCCCAGCCATTTTTATCCTCTTATTTTGAGACAAGGTCTCACTAAGCTATCCAAGCTGGCTGCGAACTCACTCTGTAATCCCATGTAAAGCCTGAACTTGTGACCCTCCTGCCTCAGCCTCCTCAGGAGGCCTGCACCATCAGGCCAGGCTTTAAAATTGACACTGAAGAGGCTTGAGAGATGACTCAGTGGTTAACAGCTTGTGCTGCCTTGGCAGAGGACCGGGGTTCAGTCCCCAGCACCTATCAGGGGGCCTTTTACAACTGCCTATAACTCAACCTCCAGGGGATGTGACACTCACTTTTGACTTTCATAGATGCCTGTACTCAAAACTGAAAAGCAAGTGTGCATGTGTGTACACACGAGCATGTACACACACACACACACACACACACACACACACACACACACACTCGTAAGATACTATGTACTATGCCTCTAAAAGCAACTATTATGAAGTGAACTTGGACCCTATTTCAGGAGTAGGTAATCCCACTCCTGCTTCTCGGAGCATGCTGTTTTCCTTCCTTGTCTCAGCTTTACAGATGCTGTGACTCAGCTGCAGGGTGATAGTGACTAAGGACTAAATCGTGGCCATGGTGCCCAACCGAAGGCAGGGAAACAGAGTGCCTGGCAGAGCAGTGATAGACACTCTTAGTGTGATGACCCAGAAAATAGAAAAATGACTATGTGCATTTGTTTAGCATCAGCTGCACATTGGGGCGGATGATGGGCTGACAGTGTAATTGAAGTTTTCTCTTTGGGCACACTTATCAGGCATATTTTGCACGTGCTGGGGAGAGCCTCCCCATTTATTTGCACTCCAGGTCTCCTGTGGTGTTTGGGGGAATATTGAGGAGAACAACTGTGAACTTGGAAAGGCTATGTTTCCTCTTAATTCACGGTGTGTACCCAGCAAGAAATACTTTTGTCACAAAATACTCAAACATTTGTTTAATGATCTCATTGATTCGTCAATCAGCTGCTCCTCTACAAATGTTGATTAAACACCTGCCACGTGCCAGACATTGTTGCTGGTGCCCAGGAATCCTTATAGTGTGAACAGAATGGAGAGATGTGTTTCCGGGACGTCTTCACATTCTAGGTCTGTCTGGATGGGTCAAGAATCATATGTGACAAAATGTGTTTGCTCTTGTTTAACTGTGAGGTGGAAAATATTTAAACGACAATGTCAAATTCAGTTCATCAGATTTGGCACTAAGCAGTGTAAGGTTGGGTTTAGCTTGCCTCTATCCTTAGCCCCTTAAACAAAACAAAACAAATTAGAGGAAAGGGAAAAGAGTCTAAATCACAGACAAATGGCTCTCCTTATTGATCAGTCTGCCTCTAAGACAAATTCTGTGGGACATACAGATGATTCCAGCAGTTGACACACTTGCCCTCTTAGTTTTGTGTAACTGATGCTGGGGTTGGCCCCAAAAGACTGGGTGACAGTGTCCATACTTGACACCACAGGAATCAGAAGTTCAGAGAAGTAGATCCTGTGGGAAGACCAGCCTTTGGTTTTGCTTTTCTGACTGTCCTTGGATGACCTTGTCAGGGTGTGCATGCAGCAAGGGCATTGCTGTTCGATCTAGGTGGCATCGCCAGCATCTTTAACTGATCCTGAAGGCTGCCAGCTGTGGGACTGCCTGCCCACCCTGTGAGGGCCAGCCACTGCCTTGTCCCT